CTCCCCCCCCGCCAGTCCCACCACATGGTCCCCTACACCTAGCATGCACTGCACCACAGTGCTCCCACACCTCCCCTGGCCCCCAGTGCCAGCCCATACAGTGTGGCCCTAACCCAGGGCTTTGATTGCCTCAGCTGCTCCTGGTTGTCCTCTCATGAAGTACGCCACACATCACCAAGCTGTCCTCCATCAGCAGCAGAGGAGAACAGGGGCAGCTGGTGGGCAGCAACACAGGGGATGCTGAGGCTGGAAAAAAAGAAAAAAAGGTGGAGAGAGGGAGAACGAAGAAGTTAAGGGCAGGGAGAAGGTCTTGTGGCTGCTGCCATGTGTCGATCTGCTTTAAATCCTGTGTTCTCAGGCTCTTTCTGAATGGGCAATGGTGATTAAAGTGTTATCTGCAAACAGACTTTCTCGGAAGCTGTGCATTTGCTGTTTAAGCTATGACTGTATTCATGATGGGTGTTGCATTTTGAAATCCTGCAAATTAAACACAGCTGTTAGGGAGAGGAGGTGCTGAATTGTAACATGCCTTCAAAATGGGAACTTAAACATGCCTTCTCTCTTCTTGTGATGCAACTCCTTCCACTTCTGATTGGTATGATTTTTATTTCTTACATTTAACGTGTTGTATTATGTGTTTATTAGCCAGAGCCCAAAGGTTTTTGGAGGCACTCTGAATGCTCAGAAGTAAATATTTATGCACCATTAATACATGTTTCTGTTTGACATTCCTGTCTCAGAGGAGATATAGAATGTGTTTGTGTGGTTTTTGGGTGTTTATCTAGATGACACTAAAGCAAATAAAACTACTCATTTCCCTGTCATCAATGATGATGTGGTTTAATTAATGTACACAAATACATCTGCTTATGAAGCAGAAGAGTGGAGGTCAACACGCAAAGAAAATAAGGCTTTTCCTTCCCACTTTTGTCCCACAGCTGACAGATATAAAACTGTAACTCAATCAGCTCCAAGCCAGGCTGTACAGTAAAAATGTGACATACATCATGGTGGGAAGGGATGTGGTGGCTGTAGGGGTGAGGGAGGGGAGGAGGAATCCCCGTTGCCACTCTTCTGCCTCTTCTCATATGTGAGATGAAAGCACTTGCATGCTGGATGTAAGGTGACCCATTTTGAGCATGGAGCACACAAAAAGTACTCTCCAATTCCTAGCTCCAGCATGAGGATTCAATGTTTGCTCATTATCTGTTTTTAATTTCATTTTCTGCCCAGCTGATTTATATATAGCTGTTTGCTACATAGAACAATTTTTTTATGTGTCATTGATATAACCTATCATTTGGTATGTTAAAATATAGGCTCTGTTAAAATGGAATAATTAGTTTTCTTTTAAGACTGAAACTCCGATTTCCTGGGCAATAGACATTTATTGCTTACAGGAAAACAAAAGTAAAGCATCTCACATAAACATCTACGGCTGCAATACTCAGTCACAGAGGTACAGACTGGAAATACTTTCTTTAGTGTATTCCTCTTTTATTATCTGCCTTCCTTTTGGAAGAGACAAGTAGCTTTGTAAAAGCAATATTACTGTAGAAAGAGAATCTGTTGGTCATACAATCTCTACTAGTTACTTTTCTGGTATCTTTTCAAACATTGTTGAATACATCTCCTAAGTGACTATTAAAAGTAAATCTCATGTTAGAAGAGTTAAAATTAGTTCAGGTAATATGCTTTCAGCCCCAGTCTGGAAAGGACATAAATTCCCTTGGAACAGTTAGTGATATTAGTCGTCTGCTGGTTGTTAGAGCATGCGTTGGTCACAAAGTATTCTTTCCAATTTTAAAACATTTTAATTATTTTTTAATATCCATTGAAAGAAATAAAGATTTATCTTCTTTAAAATTTCCACAAAAAATAAAAATCTGATCCATAATTGATTGTATTGAAAAGCCCTCCTGGGTTAAATGATCATATTTGAATTTGCTGTTTACTATTATTACTCTTAATATTGTCATTGGAAAAAATGGAAAGAATGTTAAAAATCATCTCTATTTTGTTTAAGGAACACAACCCAATTAGTATTCATGTAAAATACCAGTTGATATTTTTTAAGTTAAGTACGATTCCAGGTCTTTGCAGGTCTATTGATTAAAAATGAGGAAAGGCATATGATGCAGTCTCTTTATTATTACATTTTATTTTATTTTGACAGCTAAAATTGACATCTAAGACTCTTCTAGTCAGTTTAATTTTGTGCATTTAAAATAATGACCAAGTTGCTCAGAGTATGTGTCACCATGCAAAATATTAAAAACTGAATCAGTAACTTTGAATATCAAAAGACAGTACTTTAGATATTTTAATAATAGTAAAGAATATACAAGGCATTCCAATTATTTTAAAAGATCTAGAGGTTAAAAATATGATATCAAATATTATTAGAAAAGCAAATACAATATAGGAATACATCTTTTAAATGCTATTCTAGCATTAATAAATTTTAAAACTAAGAGATATTCTGAAAGACAGAATCAGATATTTTAACCCGAATAGTAATGTCAGTTACACTGAAAAATCTGCCCTAGTTAGTTGTATTGCAACTTTATTCACACTTCAAAGCTTTTAACAGTAGTTCCAGTATTATCATCCTCCTAACAATGGTGGAGAGACTCTATAGAGCTATTTTCTCATCACGTTCAGTAGATCACTAGCAGTACAAACGCGACTCATTCTAAATTGTGTGCAAATAAATATTTCTTAAGCTTGCTATCTGGTTTTGCTTCTGAGCCACATTACTCCTTACATCCTTTACGACATTCACTGTATGGCTAGAGTTTCTCTCTAAATTCATGTGAGAACACGTTTTTTTCCTCAGCAATATCAAAGCATTTGTTGCCCTGATTATTTGTTTCTCCCTAGAGAAATTGTGACAGCTGTTGCAGTGATGGCCCAAGGACCATCTTTGTTTCTTTCCTTCCTTTTTAATTCTTCAATATAGAGAAATATGCCAATTTACCTGAGGGCTAGATCCCCTTAGGGAACTTCAAGGTGATCTTAAGTGGGGAAAAGGGAAGAAATATCATTCCGAAATGTGAAATATGGATGTTTGCTTTTGCTGCTTAATAGCCCTGTTGTGTTTTTTTGATTTAACTGTATTCTGCAGTATAGTGTGCATCTAAGGCATCAGTCAGAATCAAAATCCTGTTAAAGTTTCTTACTCAGACACTGTCCATGTGTCTGGCAGTGTCATGGCAGTTGAATGAGAAAAAGGATGAGAGGAAAAATAAAGTGACATTATAGGCACTACCCATGGCTTGCCAAGGTCTGAGACTTGTTTCTTTTTCTGTTTGCTGGCGTTTAGCTACATCTCCATAGATGAAACACTTCAGAGTCTGGAGGCCCATTCCTTCAACAGTTTAAGTAAAGTAACTCATATGTAAGTACTGTAATTAAATAAACAAATACAGCAATAAAATAAATTTGGGGATGTGTGGAAATAACATGCATGTTCTCATTTCCTTTCTCCGTAATGTGGAGTCAGTCTCTTTTTTGATTTGTGCTTTCTTTCCTTACA